GGGAAAACAAATTATTTCTTATTTAAGTTAATTGCGTTGAATTTATTTTATGTCATTACCTAAAACCGAAGAATAGATTTCATATTTTTAATTCGTTTTTTTTGTACTGGAAAAATCTTTTCGGAAATAAATTATTTTTGCAAGATAAATTGTCTTCGAAAAATCTTTATAATTTAAAGGAAAGAATATGATCGTACTCTATATTTTAACTTACCAAAAAGATAAAAAATTTTGTTTTGACTTATTTTTTTGTGTTAACAAAGGATCTTCTTATATATTTCTTTTAAATTAAGAAAGCATAATTACATATCTGTATATTTGTAAATAAGTAAGAAATATCACTTTTCTATAAAGAAAAACTATAGAGATCACAAGATCCTCTCTGATATTTAAAGGAAACGAATGTTTCGTACTTGAAAGAAACGTGGAATGACTAGTAATTATTAATTCGATTAATAGAGAATTATTCTAGTCCAGTTGAATCAATATTCTAATTTATCCTTCTCCTCTATATGGATGTTTACTCGTTTCTGACCCCTATATTTCTTAATGCATCTTTTTATTTACTTTACGTTTGTAATTCTTTAAGAAAAGAGGAAAATAGTTTAAGATTTTGGGTATAAATAATACTTCCTCTTTGTGTGGATAAAAACAGTTCTTGGTTTTCTAAGGAGCGAATGTTTCTAATCTTGAACAACTGTTTTTTCCTTGTGCTAGTGGATATTTTGCAGTTTCTTGTACTGTCTAATGTTATTATTCTGTAATCTTTAGTAGACAGGATTTTTATTTTTCGATACCATTTGATGTACTAGCTTGGTGTAGAAAGCTCTATTGTTTTGAAGATAGGGGTTATCAAAATAGTAACTTTCTCCTGTTTGAAAGAGAGATTCATAATGTCTTGAATTGGAGTTTTTGTTCTCTTGCCAAAAACAGAAAGGAGTTTTTAGGTTAAACTAGAACAACTTTGAAAAATCTTAGTGGGACATACAGGGTAGAATCTAGAAGTGTTAAGGATCTTTATTGGCCTTTGTACTGCTTGATAGGTTTTGTCTTCTTGACCACTTTTAAAAGAAATGTGTATAACCATATGGTCCTAAGGATTCTCAAGATGATCTTAGGAGTGGTATTAGGTGAGTTATGTCACGAATACAAACATTTTATAAAGAATCTACTTCTTAGATGATTGATTTCCTTATTTATAAATCACTGTGTTGATCTTTTTATTTCAGAAGTTTTGCTTGATAAATATTTTACTCATACTTCTATTTATATTTTATAAATGCTAAAGTTGTTAATTGTTTTGATGTTCTAAACTGAAATAAGCTTTATATTTTCTGAACATTAGAACTATAGACTTCTACTCAGTGAATATACCAAGTTCTAAACTGTTTTTCTATTTTCAAGTATATTTCACTATTTGGATTTCTAATCAGTTTTCTAAACTTGATTAAAGCTTTGTCTGATTTCGATAATTGTCTCTCGCATAGTCTTGTATGATTTTCTAAACTTTATGAGGAAGTTCTCGGATAAATATTTTCTTCTTCGCAATAGTTTCGTTGTATGATTTTTTCTAAACATTTATTGAGGTATGTTCTTAATTACAAAGCTTTTCGTCATTTTTAATAACCAGTTTCTGATATTAAGGAATTATATACATTGTGAATAAATATCAGTTTTCTAAACTTGATTAAAGCTTTGTCTGATTTCGATAATTGTCTCTCGCATAGTCTTGTATGATTTTCTAAACTTTATGAGGAAGTTCTAATTACAATAGCTTTTCGTCATAAACCAGTTCTGATATTAAATAAGACATTGTAAAACAGTTCTAATTGATAGCTGCACTTTGCAAAGTCTTTCAATTTTTTTTAATAGAACATTGTGAGGTAGTTCTAATCTATAACTTATTTTACAAGTTCATTAATTTTTCCGCTGCACTTAGAATTCTGAGTTTTGTTTTTAAAGCTAAAATTTATATTTTTAGAAAATCCATCTCACCCCCCTCTTGGGTTGTGCCATACATATACGGGACCCACAATATAGGTATGTTTTAATCAAAGTTTATTTAACTTTGGCATTTCTAGAACAAATTAGAATTTTCTTTGAGGTAAAATTTTAAATGCTCACATTTAAAAAGAGATGATTTAGGCATTCTTTGTTAAACTTCATATTTGGCCTAGGTCACCTAAGTTAAATTATGACTTTTGCAACCAATTTGAAGCTTATAACCAAAATTTTTCTCGTTTACCCTTATTAAGCCTAGCCATTAAACAAAATTAAATTCTTACCCTAAGTGCAATATTGTATAATTGAAGGAATTGATTTTATCAAAACATAGCAATAAAAGGGAAAAATTTTCATTAATACTAGCAAGTGAAGCAATTAGAAAACTCAAAGCAAAACATCCCATAAAAGAAGCAATCAATCAAGAAATCAAGTTTGGGGAATTGAAGCAAGAAAGAAATTATCAAAGTATTATCAAGAAACCGTGTCACAGTATCTCTAATTTTGGGCTAGTGAAGAACTTCAAAGTTAATCTCCCACTGCAAATAAAAATTTGTTTTAATATAATGAAAATCTTGAGATTATGCATTCTTGTGCTTTTTGTTTACCCTTTCATCCTTCCCCTTGTTTAGCTAAATTATACCCCCTAAAACCCATTATAACCTTAATAAAGACCTATTGATCTTTTTAATTGTGTGCGTTTCGATTGTAGAGAAGGGATGACTAATTTTGCTTATGAGAATGTTGAATTTATATTGTTAAACATCTTGCTTAAAGGTTAATAATTTTTGTGAAAATTCATAGTCTATATATCATAATTTGAATAATTATTGGTGTTGAAAATCTTATTAACTTATGTTTAAATTAAGGGATGTGTTTTGTTGAGAATTGAATTTTTGCTAGAATATAATTAATATAGGAAACACTTGATTTATTCTCATGTTAATAATTTTTGATATTTTTGAAATTGTGAATAATTATCCCCAACCATATTAAGCTAGCTTTGTTAGTTTCCATATTAAGCTAGCTTTTGTTTAGTGTTGTTTAGCTCGTGTTTTTCTTTTTTTTTTTTTTTTAGTTTTGTGCTTGAGGACAAGGCAATGGTTTAAGTTTGAAATTGCGATTAAGGGTGTTATTTTCCTATAGATTTTTAATATAGTTTTATTAGGATTTTTAAAATTTTTAATTACTTTAATTAATTTTTATTATGTTTGTTTAAAGTTCCTGAATACAACATTTCACTGATTCTTAGCTAAAATTTTTTTTGTGCATTTATTAGGATTTTTAATATTTTTAATTACTTTAATTAATTTTTATTTATGTTTTTGTTTAAAGCTTCCTTGAATCACATTTCACTTGATCTTAGCAAATTTTGCAGCATTTTTGTAGGAAATCAACCAAAAATACAGAAAAATGACTTATTCTTGTATTTCTTCTTAATTAGAAATCTAAAGCGATCCATTATGATAAAACTCAAATTAGGTAATTAGTTTTGTGTTACACATTTTTTATTATTTGATATTTGACAAATTGCTAATTAAATTCTTACAAAGATCTTCCAAAACGATATCAAGATTATAAAGAAAACAAAATTAAAAACTAAACCAAAATATAAATAATAAAAACAACCTAAATTAAATCACAACTATTAAAAAATCCGAAATAAAAACTATGTTAAAAATATTATAAAAATCAACCTATCAAATTTTCTAAATTTAAACTATTGCTTCTCCCCAAAGATTAACACTAGAAATAAAAGCAAAACAAAAATATAAAATAAATGAGCTAAGAAAGTTTGCTTAGTATGGTTGAGAATAATTATTCAAAATCTCAAAAATACCAATAATTTAGTAACATGATAATAAACCAAGTATTTTATATACTATTTTTTTTTTTTGTAAAAATTCAAGTTTCAAACAAAAAACAATTTATTAATTTAAACATGAGCTAGTAAGATCTTTCAAACAAATAATTGCTCAAATAATGACAAATAAAAAATGAATTTTTATAAAAAATGATGAACAATATAAATTTAACATTCTCATAAGTAAAATTAGTCACCCTTCACAATTAAAATGCAACATGATTAAAAGATTAAAAGGTCTTTTATTAAGGTTGTAATGGGGTTTTAGAGTATAAAATTTGCTTAACAAAGAAAAAGGAAAAAAAGGTAAACAAAAAGCACAAAAATAAATAATATGATTATTTTAATTATACCAAAACATTTTTTTTTTTTTTGTAAGGAAAGACTACTTTGAAATATTTCACTAGCACAACATTAAAGATGATTTGGTAACAATTTTCCTTCATAAAATTAATACTTTGATAATTACTTCCTAACTATAATTCCCCAAACTTATTCTTATTCTTTTTGCTATAATTATTTCCTATCTAGCATCAATGAATTAACTCTCCCTTCTTATTCTTTTTTTTTTCTAATATAACTAATCTCCATACTTATACATCTTGCACTTAAGGTAAGGATTTAACCTTGATTTAATGTCTAGGTTTCATAAAGGATAAAATAAGAAAAATTTGAATATAAGCTTCAAAGGGTTGCAAAGATTATAATTTAACTTATGATGGTCTAGGCTAAATATGAGTTTCAAACAAAGAATGTCTAAAGCACCTCTTTCTAATGTAAGCAATTTAAAAAAAATTTTTTTAAAAGAAAATTCTAATTTGTTATAGGAAATTGAGAGCTCCATATCAATTAATATTTAATTGTAATATAATAATACAAATTGCGTGTAAATTGATAAAGTTTTCAATAATAATAATAGTATTAGTAATAACTAATCCAGTTAAGACTGACCTATATCCCACCCCACCGCAAGAAGAAATTATTATCCATGTCATGAAGGAACGTGTTTTACTTTTCTTTATTGGAAGGAAGATGCGTGTGTTCATGTATTCTGAAAATGACATGATTTGGTTTACATGTATACTTACTTTATATATATGTAAGCTAATATAACTATACGTTGTTAAAACAAGAAACTAAACAAACTTCCGTCTAATTGCATAGAAATGTGTTCCATCTCGAAGATTTTTGCCTTACAAGTTTCAGTGTTTCTACTGTTTGCTATCGTCCTCCATTCCCAAGCTTTTGCTCGTTATAAATTTGTGGTGAGTACCCTGTTCCTATTTTTGTACATAAGAGTATTTGAAACAAACTTATTAATAAGGATCATATATAAGCTTTTACAGTTAAAAATATTTTCCATGACAGGAATTATAAACTTTTCAAGTTTTATGTATAAGAGGGAAGGAGGGAAGGAGGCTGCTTAACGTTATATAAAAATGAGCTTATCAATGATTAAATTTCAAAATAATATTAAAATAAATGTAGTTATTGTTGATATATTTAAATTATTCCAATATAATGTTAAAATTTAATGACCGATAAACTTGTCCTGATATAAGCTCTAGCTTATTGCAACCAAACTGGACAACACCAATAACATATATCAAGGTATATACTTAAAATGTTACTTCTGGTACATGGGCATTATTTCTATGATATAAGTAGAAATAGTAATAATTTCTTCCGCAAAATTATCTATTTTGATAGCTATTAACTATTTGAGTCGCTTTTCATAAAACGCTAAAGTTAAACGATAGTTAACAGTTAAATGTTACATGAGTTAAATTTTTATAAAACGTTACCTTAATCTCTAAAAGTTAGTTCAAACGTTATGTTATTAAACACTATAAAAAATAGCGTTTAAGTTTTGACTAGTCAAAATATTAAAAGTTACTTAAAAAGCTGTAATTGAATTTTTTTAATTATATATAGCTGGAAGAAACTCCATATACAAGACTATGCAGCACAAAGAACATCTTGACTGTGAATGGGCAATTTCCAGGACCAACGCTCTATGTTACAAAAGGAAAAACAATTATTGTTGATGTCTATAACATGGGCAACTACAATGTCACTATTCACTGGTAAATTCTCCATAATTTATTATTTATGTATTAATTATCTTTGTCAATTAGGCTTCAGTTGAAATTTAAATTAAGAAAATGTCCAACTCGTAACATTAAATTCTTAAATGTTTACAGGCATGGAGTGAAACAGCCTAGGAATCCATGGTCAGATGGTCCTGTATATGTAACACAATGTCCAATTAAACCAGGAGGAAAGTTTAGCCAAAAGGTTATATTTTCTACAGAAGAAGGGACTCTATGGTGGCATGCACATAGTGATTGGACAAGGGCAACTGTTCATGGAGCTATAGTTATATACCCTAAGAGAGGAAGTACCTACCCTTTTCCCAAGCCTCATGCAGAAGTACCTATCATTCTAGGTAGAGGAAACCTTGTCATAACCAATATAAGTTTTAGCTAGCACATTACTGCATTAAATAAAATTAACATATCCGTGTATATGTGTCTATCCCTAGAAATCGATTTTAGATAGTAAAAATAGAAATAGACAAAATTCTTAGACCTAATTACATTCAATATCTAAATCCTTTTAATTTTTTATAATTTAGTTTTGAACTTGGACTAGTATGTGCATGCTTTAATTTACTGTAATGAACTGAAAGCAATAAGAGAACATTACCAAAGAAAAAAGAGAACTTTGAATTCAAATAGAAAAGAACAAATTCTTAGACCTAATTATATTCAATATCAGTTTCCTCAATAATACATGCGAAATACGAATTTTGAATTTCAGTGCTTAACGATGAAACTTACTTTAATTATTGAGTAGCTTTTTTCAGTTTATCGATTTCGATTAATTATTGAAGGAAACTGACAATTTTTCTTTATTTGCAAATTTTAAATCTTGACATAGATAATATACCTTTGACCCAACCAAAAGAAATAAACGTAACATAGTACATAATACTGGCTTGCAAATCCATATTACCACTAAATGATAAAAGAAAAAGTTGAATAAAGCACGTAACATAGGATGGGGAGAGGGATGATGGAGCTATATACAGATTTTCCACCAAATGATTGCATGTGTAAGATTTGATATTCTTGTGGGCTCTGAATATATTAATATATAAACAATAAATTAATACGTGCAGGAGATTGGTGGAAGCAAGGAATAATGGAGCTTTATGATGCATTTCTGCAGTCAGGAGGAGACCCTAATGTTTCTGAAGCTTACACTATTAACGGTCAACCTGGTGATCTTTATCCGTGCTCAAAACAAGGTAAAGCTTGTAAGTTTTTGCTATTGACTTATGTATAATATATTTTTTGTTAGTATAAGAAATTTAACAATAGATTGAATTCTGTAATAAAAGCCTACTACTTCCATTCATAATAAAAAGAGAACAAACATAATAAAAAGAAAATAATTCTATGATCTTTTTTTTAAAAAAAAATCACATTTGTTCTCTACATTATTCAATATTTTGAAATCACTAAATAATTAGCTCATTGTCAATGCTACTAAATGCCTCTCTTTCTATATAAATGATTAAAAAATCATTCATTAAGTATTTTATATATATTAGATTGCACAACGGACTCTTCACAATCTTATTTGCAAAAAATGCTTTCTCTATGGTCTATGTGGCAATAAATAAAACTAATGCTAACTTAAAGGCTAATGGATAAACAATAAGCCTCTCTCAACTAAATCTTATCTCTTACAACATTAATTTAATTTTTCATATACCTAAAAAGATAATCAAACTAATTTCAGGAGATTCACCATTTATAAATATAACAATTCAAAGAGTTCATTTTACAAATATATTAATAGTTGCTTAGAAAAAATTTTCAAGTCGAGGGTGCTTGTGCACCCTCTCAACTATATGTGTTAACCATATGTGGCTCCGCCACTGCCAAGATTGGATTCTGGACTTTATTGGATTTTTTTTTTTTTTTTTTTTTTTTTTTTTTTGACTTTGTGCACCCTCTCAACTATATGTTGTTAACCATACTGTGGCTGCGCACTGCCAAGATGGCGAATTTCTGGACGATTGGATTTTTTTTTTTTTTTTTTTTTTTTTTTTTGTCACAAAGGAAATTCCTACTTGAACTTTTTTTTTTTTTTTTTTTTTTTTTTTTTGTCACAAAGGAAACCTACTTGAACTTTGATTGGGCAAAGTTAAACAATCAACAAGTTGGTGATGGAGTTGGAATTTGGAAGTGCAAATCAACCTTTTTAATCAATGTTCTTCGAGAAGACTTGATTTGTCAAAGTTCTTTTGTTGGTTACCAAAAATGCAAAATCAACTACATATATAGACATGCATTCACAAAAGTAATCTATTTTTCACTTTGCTTGTTAAATTGCAATATGGGAATACTATAAAGAAAATGCAAGTTGCAATCAAGTTGTAATACTATATACAAAGCGTTAAAAGGTGAGTTTATACGAAAAAATAGACTTGATAATTAGATAGATTGAACCAAGTTTCAAATCATGTTAAATTGGGGCTAATTTTTTATCCTTTACATAAAATCAGCCTAATCAACCAATCAAGAGTTAATGTTAATGTTTGGTCAAAACTCATCCAAAATAATATTACATTTAGATATTAATTTTATATTATTTTGTTTAGCTTGCTACTTAACTGTCACTACAAGAAAAATGCAATGGACAATGGATATTTTCCGTTGCTAAATTTGGAAAATTCGTTGCTAGAACTAAATATGGTCACAAAATATAGTCAAGCGATATCCAGAAGATGCTAACCTGAAAAGAAATGGGTATGTTTTAGTTGACAAGTATCGTTAGAATCACTAACAAAATGCTAGTCATCTTTATTTAATTATCTCTAGTCTCCCAACTTCATTCTTCCTACCACTAACTATAGTTACTTTCTTTGTGGAATTCACTACTTGCAGAAACATTCAAGCTCATGGTGGACTATGGTAAAACTTATCTTCTTCGAGTAATCAACGCAGCAGTACAAGACATTCTCTTCTTCTCCATTGCAAATCACAATCTAAAAGTAGTAGCAACCGATGCTAGCTACACAAAACCATTAACAACTAATTACATCGCAATATCCCCTGGTCAAACCTTTGACATCTTATTACATGCTAACCAACCGCCCAATAACCTCTATTACATGGCCGCAAGAGTCTACTCCGCCGTAGAAGACCTCCCCATCGATAACACAACCACCACCGCAATCATCCAATACAATAATAGAAACCATACACCAAATGCAAACCCAACTCCGTTATTACCTAATCTTCCTTATTACAATGACACAGCCGCTTCTTTCAATTTCACTGCTAGTCTTAAAAGATTATCAGATAAAAACAATGACGTCCCTTTGAAAATAAATAAAGAATTATTTATTACTGTCTCAATTAATACATTTCCTTGTTTGATTGATTCATGTTCTGGTCCAAATGGAACAAGATTAGCTGCTAGTTTAAACAACATAAGCTTTGAAAACCCTAACTTGGATGTGCTTGAAGCTTATTATTATAAACAAAACGGTGCGTTTGGAACTAGATTTCCAGATCGGCCGCCATTGTTGTTTAATTTTACTGCTGAGGATTTGCCCTTGTATTTAGTGACTGCAAAGCCAAGCACAGAGGTGAAAGTAGTGGAGTATAATTCAACGGTTGAGATTGTATTTCAAGGGACTAATGTGGCTGGAGGAGCTAGTGATCATCCAATGCATTTACATGGATTTAGTTTCTATGTTGTTGGAAGTGGATTTGGAAATTTTGATCAAGAAAAAGATCCTTTAGGGTACAATCTTGTGGATCCTCCTCTTCAAAACACCATTTCCGTACCTATTAATGGTTGGACTACTATTAGATTCAAGGCAGATAATCCTGGTATGTGTCATTAATTAATTAATTAATTAATAATACCAATTCTATTTATGAGCATAGCTAATTATTATAAATATTTTTCAATTATTTTAATTGTTTTGTTTTTAATTCTTCATTATTTTGGTTTGATTATTTTTAACATTGTGTTCAATTTAGTTCTTTTCTTGAAAGTCAATTGCGTTCATTATGTAATTTTGACATTCAATTAAAATTCGATAACTTCATTTAAAAAATTTTCTGAATAGAGCATCCATGGGAATTATAGAAAAACAAAAAATTATTTCATCTTGTACAGCTCATTTAATTCTGAATTTAAAAATATATTTAATTCCTAATTAAACTAACCAAATATATTGATTCTTACTCAAATTTGAATTTAAAGCCACCCCCCCCCCCAATTCCCTAATTAAAACTAACCAAATATATTGATTCTTACATCAAATTTTGAATCTTAAAGCCACCCCCCCCCCCTTTTTTTTTTTTTTTTACATATTAAATGTAAATTATGTGCACCAAAAATGCAAAGGGAAAACTTATAGGGAAGGATTTTAAAAATTTTAAAAAAAAAAACATTAAATTAGAGACCATTAATTTTATATTGACTTATTTCATTATGTAAACAGGGAGTGGTGGTTCATCGGCAACTTTGCCATTTTACGATCCCCCCCCCCCCCTTTTTTTTTTTTTTTACATATAATGTAAATTATGTGCACCAAAAATGCAAAGGGAAAACTTACTAGGAAGGATTTAAAAATTAAAAAAAAAAACATTAAATTAGAGGACCATAATTATATTGACTTATTATCATATGTAAACAGGAGTGTGGTTCATGCACTGCCATTTAGATCGGCACTTGTCGTGGGGAATGGATACGGTGTTTATAGTGAAGGAAGGAAAAGATCCAGAAGCGCATATGCTTCCTCCACCGCCTGACATGCCGCCGTGTTGATTCATTTGCCACCGCCAGAAAAAGTATTTCCCATATTGTGTTTGACTATATACCTATTATATAGAAAGGCAAGTTTCAAAAATAAGATATCTGTATTGTATTTGAATCTGTATTTCAAACGAAAATTGAAAATATTATTCTATCATCATCTCTAAGTTTCATTTATTTAATTAATAGATTCTCAAATAGTTATTCCGCTTATATATTTTTTTAGGCTATATCATAAATTTAACCTCGAACTTTGCTCCTATAACCTTTATGGTACATTAAACTTTATAAAAAATCTATTATAATTCCTCAACTTATGAATTTTATATGCAAAGTATTAATGCTATTTATGGCCGGTACAATTTTAGAACCATGATTATCACATTTTTAACTATCTAATGTTTAATTAATTTAATTTTACAAGATGGTATATTCAATGTAATAGTTTTTATCGGTTGAAGTGTTTAAGAGGTGAAATCTTATAAATAGAAAGGCCAAATTGAAATTACTTCAAAAAATATTTTTTTCAACCAATTGGCAGTCCTCTTATTTAGTTTTGGGAGAAATTTTCCTACGAGAGTCACAAACTGTGAGGCCCCACCCGAGCACTTATTGAATTCACTAAAAAAATTGGAATGCTCATTCTGACCGAGTCTCGTTGTAACGCTTCAAAATCTAGAGTTAGTGAATAGTACATTTTTGGGTTGTGAATAGTGCATGAGAGAAATATTTGTAATAAGCATTTAGATAAATAGTGCATTCCCCATGAAAAATAAGCATTTAGATACTATAAACCAGAGTTTAAAACTGGATTATGGACTTAGTTAGAATTAATGGAAAAGATAAATAGTACATGGGAGAGATACTTGTAAAATGACTGTAGAGATTGGAAATAGTGTAACTTGTGAAAGTTGATTGAGGTTTGATTGAATAGGATCAAAGAAAGGTAGTGGTTAAAGTATAAATATGGAAAGATTTAAGTGAACTGATATTTGACCATTAGATCAAATTAATCTTGCCTTCCATTTTGATTTAAAGGGGATATAGTATAGAAAGAGGAAAAAAAAAAATACCTCCCTAAATTATAGTGAAATTAACACATGTCTTTTGTGGGCTTTTGCCTAAGAAAATGGCTCAGCACTGTGTCAAGGCCCAAAAGCCTAAGAGAAGACGGAGTGCGTTAAGGCCCATTCGGAGAATAGGAGTCGCCACCAAGATAAAATTTGAGATAATTACCACGTAGCGATTGGATTCCTCGCAGAGAGACCAACTGCTTAATCAGAGTCTGGAAAAGGAAGTTAGGTGTGGGTTTGGGAAGGTGTTAGGCACTCGAGCCCACCTGGCCATGGCGCCGACCTCCACTTTATTATTTTATTTAGATAAGGGTTGATTTTAATTTTTAAACCTAATTACTTAACAAAAATAATTTTGAAAATATTTTAATTTTGAAAATCAAAAGATTAATCTTTTCATATTGATATGCCATAATTACAAAAATAAAATAAATTAAACATCTACAACAACTAATTAAACATACAAAGAAAAGGAAGGAGGAGAAAGTTAAACAATTTAGTCATTAGCTTAAATAGACTCAATCAAAAGGGCCATCAATGTCCTATGAGCTCATTAAGACAAAGTTATCTCAACCTCAATCTGTGATTTATATCTCAATAGAAGAGGGACAATCTTAACCTCATTTAAGATGGTACAATATCATTTGCTTATCATTCATTTCCATATCAATCACAATATCAACTTAAAAAAAAAAAAAAAAATTCAACAAATAAATAAAAAAAAAAAAAAAAAAATACAATATCAACTAAAAAAAAAAAAAAAAAATTCAACAAATAAAGTGATATCGATAGGGCAATAATTATGTCTATCAGCTACTATGAGACTATAAATCATTTCATATATTAAACATAATTAAAAACACATTGGGCAACAATCTATTTCCACAAACACTATTAAAAACATTCATTCACGGCCACCCTTCATACTACAGGTAACAATTGGCCAATATCCTCCTTTCTCATATAAAAACTTTCAATTTAACTTTAAGAATCATTAAAATCATAGGCTATCAAATCGTATTCCTTTTCTTTTAAAATTCAATAAATCTTCATTCCAATATTTCTTTTCATTCATAAATCATTTTGTGAATGTGGAATGTGATATCAAATACATTTTGGTTTTAAACGAAGCAAGAAAAGTGTAATGCACTAACCTGAATTGGAAGGCTTCCCTAACCTTTCTCCTCTAGATACTGACTTATCTTCCAATCCTCTCCTCTTAGAAACTATAGCATAAAACTTGTTGGCTCAAGGTCAATTTTATCTTAAAATTTTGAAGATTATGCAAACCAAATAATTTAACATTCTTGTTGTGCTAAAGTTATTTTATACAGAAAATTATTGTTGAACAATTTTTGAAGAAATGAAGCTCTTACAATCCAAGATTTTTATTTAAAGGCCATGAAGATGAATGAAGATTTTTTATTGGTTAGTATTATATTAAGTCTTAGAAAATTATTTTAGGATAGAGGGTAAAAAATATTAGAAGCACAAAATCAATTTTATCTCTCTCAAAAATTATTTTTAAATGTTTTTGAATAAATTTATTAAGATGACATAGCCAAAATCATTGCTTTTAACATTTTTCCACTTAAAAAGATTTTTGGAGTAAATCTCCTTGGTGGCTATTAAATGAATTTTTGCAAAAAGCAGTTTCTGATCTGACACAGCTAACATTTTCTGAGCACAACTGACAATTTCTATCTGTAAAGTTAAACAGCTTTCTGAAGTTACCCTTTCAACTCCATGCTATGCATGTAAGCTTTTAAAAATTTGAACTACAGCTCATTTAATGCAACCCATGCTAAGTTATTTTTGAATTAAAATGTTAGAATCAATCATCACACATTAAAGCAATAATCCCAAGTTATTTATAATGGGATTATCACTCTTTCTTATAAGAACTCTCTAATCTTTCAAAAGCAAATGTTGGCAAGAGTAAGAGTCCATTGTTCAAAATTCAAATCTCTCAAAGCTCTCTTGTTACGCCCGACTCCAATCACCAGAGCAAATTGTCCGCTTTGGATCAAGCCAAATCGCCCATACAAGATGGCAAGACCCACACGGTTTTGTCCCGCAGGTGAAATGGGAAACTTCCCAGGAGGTCCCCGCAGGTGAATGGGAAACTTCCCAGAGGTCACCCATCCTGAGATTTTCTGTTCAGCGACATGCTTACCTGGAGTTTCTTCCAACTCTCTAGCTGCTCCACCAAAGGCGCCTCTTAATGATTTAGTTTCCCCTTTTCGATCATATGATCGTTCATTCCTGTGTCCCGCATTCCACTAAGTTTCCCCCTTTTCGATATATGATTCGATTCATTCCTGTGTCCCGCATTCCACTACCCTAGCTAGCCTGCCATCCTAGAAGCTAGCCAGGAGCTTTGCCCTATCCGCCCTCTTAGGATCGCATTGCCGGGTCGGGATGTCACATCTCTCTTCAACCCCCTTCATTTCTTTTCATCACTATTCTTCAAGAAATATTTTCAAGAGAAAAGAAAATTTGGTAACAACTCTTTTTGAAGAATAGTTCTGCACTTTCTTTCTGTTTTCAAAATTTGTTTTTTATTCTTCCTGTGCTTATAGTTGCATTTCCCTCTGCCTATATAGATTGTTGTAATTTGTTGTAGGCTAGAGGTTTTTTAAATGAAAAACATTTGTGTAATAGCTTAGGTGAGAAGTTATGTCGTAAAAGGTTATCAAACGACCTTCTTCTTGTGTGGGATTTTAATATCTTGATCTGAGTTTTCTTATCTCTGCAAAATAGAAGGGTAAAGGTTGACTAGAATCTTTGAAATCTAGTGGGTTTAAGGTTAAATTTAGGTATTAAATCTATTTCCTTGTAACTGTTGGTTTGTCTCTTATACTTTAAAAGAGATAACATAGTGAAGGATCTCAAGATGAGTCTTGAGGAGTGGATGGGGGTGAATTAGTGCCAGAACACTATAAATCTCTATGTTATTTTCTTTTATTTTCTGAAGTGTTGCTTGATTATATTCTGCTTACACATTTGTTAATATTTTTAGAAATACAAAGTTGTTAATGATTTTCTGTTTCTAATCATGATAAAGCTTTATCTTTATAGATCATTAGAACTCTGGATTTCTATATTGTAATTTCTTCAAAGTTCTAATCTTTCCTTTTATATTTAATAGAAATCAGAATTTGAGTTATAATCAGTTTCCTAATCTTTCATAAACTTTGCAAGGAAGTTCTAAACGTGATAACTATCTCTCACAAATGCTTTTTAATTTTGTTGCTACAGAATTCTGATCTTCTGTTTTAAAAGCTAAATTTTTAGAAAATCTAATTCACCCTTCCTCTTGGGTTGTGTCATAATGAACGAGACCCACAATCTGGTACCAGAGCTCATCCCTTGACTTATCAAAGCTTAACAGCTTAAGAGAAAAGATCCCATGACAGCCCCATTGCCACTTACATCCTTAGAGGGTCAATCTACATCTAGACCACCTCTATTCAATGGTTCTAACTACTCTTACTGGAAAACCAAAATGGAAAACTTATTAAATCAGTTGATATAAATTGTTGGAGGAACATTATTACTGGTCCTCGCGTCCCTATGAAAGCTGTTGCAAATGTAAGAGTGCCAAAAACAGAAGAAGAATACAATGATGCTGATTGAAACGATATTTATATAAATGCAAATGCCATCAATATTCTTCATTGTGCATTAGATCCAGCAGAGTATAACAAAGTTTCTGGATCTAAGTCAGTAACATAAGTATGGGAAAAGCTTAGAGTTACATATGAGGCAACAGATCGAGTTAAGGAATCCAGAATTAATATCCTTTGGAGAGAGTACAAAATTTTTAATATGAAAGAAGGAGAGACTATAGCTGAACTAAATTCCAGATTCACAAATACAGTCAACCCTTTGAGAACTCTCGGAAAGAAAATCTCAGAAGATGAGCTTGTTAAGAAAATCCATAGAATTCTACCTAAAAAGTGGAATTCTATAGGAACTGTGATGAACTATAAAAAGACTCCAGTAACCTATGATTATTTAATGGGAGCTCTTGTTTCAGAAGAGATAACGTCTTCTTT